CGACTGCAAAAATGAGCACAGGAGTAAATACCGGTTTTAATTGGTTTACGGAGCTGAGGCTTTAATTCCAGTTGAGATAGGAGAACCAAGCACACGGTTCACACAATCGACACAAGAATCTAACGACGAGGAGATGCGGGTCAATTTAGATTTACTTGAAGGACGGAGAGAAGCTGCATTAATAATTCTTAGTTTTTTTTTTTTCTTAAGCGAGTAGAAAAATTAATTTTTTTTTAAACTTTTAAGTGGTGGCACAAAGATATTTTGTAAACTAAGTTGTTGAAGTAGCAACTTACTTGTGTTTCCAGGACCATATTTAGCATTCTTTTGTTTTTTATTTTATTTTCTATGATATATAGGTATGATTGAGTTATTTATTCAATTTCAAAAATTAGTATTATGACCTTGATATAATAAATTAAAAGTTGGATGACTATCCGTGAAATTAATGCGTAAGCATAAGGTCAAGAAGTGAAGGGGAGCCATGGAGCAACGTTAAAGTTGTCTCCATGTGACCTATAGGTTACGAGTTCGAGCCAGGGAATTAGCCATTAATGCTTGCATCAGGGTAGACTGTCTACATGACACCCCTTTGAGGTGCAACCCTTTCCTGGATCCTGCGTGAACATGGGATACTTCGTGTACCGGGTTGCCCCTAAACAAAAGGTCAACAAGTGACGGGGAGCTTTGGAGCAACAATAAAGTTGTATTCGTGTGACCTATAGGTTACGGATTATAGCCGTGCAATTAGCCATTGATGCTTGCATCAGCGTAGGCTACCTACATCATTACCCCCTTGGGTGCGCACCTTTTTGGACCCTGTGTGAACGCGGGATGCTTCGTACACCGAGCTAACCCCTAAAATAAAGGTCAAGAAGTATAAAGAATACAAAAGACTTGCCTGGAGAATATCACCAATATTGATAACTAAAGCTCCAGGGATAGGAGGAACATCAACCCACTGATTTTGGTGAAAAACTTGAAGTCCGCCAAAATCATCTTGTAGAAGTACTGTGAAAAAGTCATTATCTGCATGTCTGCTTGTGCCTATTGCAAGTTCTGGTTGTGGACATGCAGGATAATAATTACACAAAATGCCAAGTCCCTCAGCACAGTCCATTTCTTTGAGATGATTAGGTTTGAGACCAAGACCCTCTGATAATAACTCAAGCAACTTGCACCCCAATTTCATCACATGATCTGAGTACTCTATTACAATTTCCCTGCAAGAATGCAAGTAAAGTTGATAAATTAAAATGGAATTTTATGTTATATACACAAATCGCACTAACACGTTGTATCCTTGAGCTGAGGATCTATCGGAGACAGTGTCTCTACCTTCATAAGGTAGGGGTAAGGTTTACGTACACACTATCCTTCCTAGACCCCAAGTGTAGTTACACTTGAGTTATTATTGTTGTTGTTATACTAACACATTGTAACGTGTTATATATTCTATTCTTTAGTTACCATATATGTTTTCTTATAAAACAATTATCTGTTATTATAGGTTAATTTTATCTAATAGCATAAAAGAACCATGCACTATTGGCAGTCCGGTGCACTAAGCTCCCGCTATGCGTGGGGTTCAGGAAAGGGCCAGACCATAAGGGTCTATTATATTATACTCAATTTTACCCTATATTTCTGCAAGAGGCTATTCCCCGGCTCGAACCCATGACCTTCTGATCACATGACAACAATGTTACCCGCGTAGCTCAGATACTTTAGGAGAGGGATTACTTGATACTAAAAGATGTGAATGCGAAATTTCTTTAGTTCATTGTATCATGCTCGTAATTACTCCCTCTTTCTAATTTTACATGACAGAAATTTTGATTGAACTTTAAGATATTAGTTTTACTTGCATACTATATAATGATTGAAATGTTAGTTTGATAAATAAAATAGTTTTTTAAAAAAGTGTCATATAAAGTGAAACGGAAGAAGTTATTTTCAGAAAGTGATTGAAGTTATATATACTAACATTGTAAACAAAATTTCCAATATAAACGTATTTAACTGATTTTCCAGATTGCTAATTGCAGTTATTATAATATTAATTGTAATTGTTTTCAACTATCAGTGATGAAAGTTAAACTCGAAAAAAAGTACCTGCACGTCTCAGGCAATTCCTCTGGTTTAGCAGGATTTGGAGCCATAACAGAATAAAGCGAGTCTCTCCAGTTTGCAGCTAAAGCTTTCTCAGTAAACAAATCAAAATTGCAGTTATACATCACCTTCCTCGCCACATCTCGACTATAGTACGGCTTCTTAACATCGATTTCTTGCTCATGAAAACGACGTGCTCCTCGCAACATTTCATCCAGTACTAACACTGGAATTCCATGATTGATCACTTGAAAGAAACCCCATGTTTCAGCTGCATCTTGAATTTTGTTTACTATTTCTTTGTGCTTAATAGGATCTTTATTGATGTTTTGAAGGTCTATTAATGGGAAAATAAAATGTGTTTTTTTGGGGCTCGAGGGGTTTTCTAAGGCTTCTGGATGAATGAATATTTGAGGCACTTTAGTAATTCCAGCATCAGTTAGCCCTTTGACACCAGCTTTTGTGTCGTCAAAGGCTTTTAATTCACTCTGTTTATCATAGTTTGGTTGGGAAGTTGCAAGATTTTGTTGTGTGTTGGAGACATCCATTTTGGCCGAACGATGTGGTGCTCTTAATTAATTAGAGATATATATCTGATTCGAGAACTAGCAATTGAATCCCTTTGAATAAAGAGAGCACATAAAAATTTCTCTTAAGAAGTCCTAAAAAAAGAAATGAAGGATTGAGAAACACAAAAGTTTGATTAGAAGGAAAGACAAAGATGATTTAAATTTTGGTTATAAATATCAGCATCTTAAATAGTGACCATATAGTTAATTTTACTTGGACACCAAGTATGGTCCATTTTAAAATATTTGTAAGCACATGAAAGTGACAACAGAGTTGGTGCTACTTGGAAAATCAAAGTATGGTCCTTCATTTTTTAAAATATTCAAAAGAACAAGTGACCATAGAGTTGGTGGTACTTGGACACCAAGTATATATATGGTCCTTTTCTTAAAAAAAAAAAGAAAATTTAAAATATATGGTTGCAATAAGCATATCATCTTTTTTATTCCTGATCCACGTGCCGCTATAACTTTTTCTACATAAGGTCAAAAAGATTGGCAGTAGTAGGAATAGAAAATAAATACAGTTTATTCCTTTATTATTAGAAGAAACTTTTTTCTTTTTTTTCTTTTTATTAATGGTCAACTGTTATATTATGAGGCAACTAGTCAAATTAGAACAAGTTTAGATAAAAGAAGTCACGTGAACTTATCCGCTGTTTAACCAAAAAATGGAATTTTAGTCAAAGCTAGAATTTAGAAGAATTCGGGTTACTGATAATCAAAGAAATGAATAAAAGGAAATAATTCTGAGTAGCAATATAATAATCAAGAAAAACAAGTGATACCAATGTATATTTCAATAGCTTTTTCGTGTCCCCCACAACTGATCATATATCTCCTTTTTATAGGTACCTTTGAGAATGTACGTTATGCCTAAATCATAATGAGGCTATTATGAATAATTAAAGACATTGAATGCTACGTTACACAATCATTACATTGAATATATATATTCCTTAACGGACTCAGCATTTAATACCCATTAAATGTTGTATCTGCACGCTTTTTTATAACCAGATTCATTCCTTCTGATGCCCGGATATAAATGATTTAAATAGGTACGGGTGCCGTGCTACTTATCTGATATCCTGTGCCTCTTCCTCCTTCTTTGCTCGTGTCTGTTTTACAATTCTTGAATCGTGTCTAATTGAGATTTATTGACCTTTTGACCAATCCACGTGTCCTGACACGTCACCATATATATATAAAATACAATTTTTCCCCAATACAGATAGTCCCCCCACTTTCCATTTATTCATCAGTTTGAATATTTGGGAAGTGGAATTCATTTAAAAGAGAATTTTTGTCAAATGCTCTGACAGAATTGATGCTTCAATTGTCACTTCCATTTAATGCATTAGACACGTGTCATCCTCTCATTGATTCTACAGTTTTGCAGCACTTTCTTAGGCTTTCTTTTCGGCTTCCCTATTCACGAAGTGTCAGTTATCATTATTATAGCTCTTCCATCATTGTACTTTTTCTTTTTGTCGGTCACCCATTAGTATAAATATAACTTCTTTACTTGTCTTTTACCATATAAAGCGTGTCAAACACTTTAATTCTTCAAAAACCTCTTATTCTCTTCTGCTCTACTTCAATCTTCTTTGTCATGGCTTCACCAAACCCTAACCCTAGGAGAACCCCCATTTTGGATAACTTCCCCAATGCTCCTGTTAGGCACAGAAGAGGGGGTAGACTCCGTAGCTTGGGGTCTGCTCGTGGTGGTAGCACATCTACTCCTTCTTCTAGCTCGGGTCCTTCTTCTAGGACTAGAGGTTCCCTTTCTCAGAAGTCTTCTTCTAGGAATAAAGAATCCTCTAAGCCCCTTCGTGAGCCTCTAGTTGAAGAAATAGTCCCAACAGAGATTTCTTTTCACCATGATAGAGAATCTCTCAGGACCCNTAATACCCATTAAATGCTGTATCTGCACGCTTTTTTATAACCAGATTCATTCCTTCTGATGCCCGGATATAAATGATTTAAATAGGTACGGGCGTCGTGCTACTTATCTGTGTATATATATATATATATATATATATATATATATATATATATATATATATATATATATATATTCCTTAACGGACTCAGCATTTGATACCCATTAAATGATGTATCTGCACGCTTTTTTATAACCAGATCCATTCTTTCTGATGCCCGGATATAAATGATTTAAATAGGTACGGGCGTCGTGCTACTTATCTGATGTCCCGTGCCTCTTCCTCCTTCTTTGCTCGTGTCTGTTTTACAATTCTTGAATCGTGTCTAATTGAGATTTATTGACCTTTTGACCAATCCACGTGTCCTGACACGTCACCATAAATATATAAAATAAAAAATTTCCCCAATACATCCGCCTCTCTCTAAATTATGTATAACATCGGCGAATTTTAGCTCAAATACTTAAATTAGCATGAGTAAACCGAAGTTTAAGTAGGCACTTTAGTGCATTGATAACGAGATGCATCTTTAACCTTTTAGTTTGATCCTCATATCATTTCTTCTTTTAAATTATATTTTAATTAATACATAGGGGTAAATCCCAATGCCTTTGCCGCTTTTTCTAATTAAAGACACTTTTTTTGTTTTTATTGTGGTTACACTTTTTATTTTTATTTTTTTCCCTTTTCTTTCTTTAGTATTTGTTTTGACTTTTAAAATCGTTAAACCAAAATATATCTCTCAAACCTCGGAAACTCGGTTTTCTGACGCTTATAATATACCCATGCTCTTAAAATCTTAGATCGTCTCTACACTTTTCTAAAAAATTATCATGATAGCACAATAGCTAAAGATTACAATTCAAATCATAGTATCACGACTTTTGATAAAATACTACTGGCTTGTTTGACCAAGATTCTCTATGGCCAAAAGTACTTATTTGGCCATTAATATTTTTTTTTCAAAGTTAAGATGTTTGACCAAGCTTTTAGAAAGAAAAAAGTGCTTTTAAATAGAATTTTAAAAAGGAGAAAAAAGTAGTTTCTTCACAAACATACTTTTTTGAAACGTACTTTTGAAAAAAAATACACTTTAAAGCATTTTTTAATAGCTTGGCCAAACACTAATTTCTGTTTAAACTTCTTTTCAAATTAATTAGTCATACAAATTGCTTCTTACCAAAAGTACTTTTCCTGAAAAGAGCTTTTGAAAATTTTCAAAATAAGCTAATTTTAAAAGTTTGGCCAAACAGACTAGTAACTACTTACACTCTAAAGAAATATAACAATACTTTTTTTCGGAGAAAATGACATTGCATAGCCTTGTAAAAATAATAGCTGAAAAATATATAAAATTTATATATTTTTTTGTATATATATACATTCTGTATGTTATATACGAAAATTATATAAATTATATACACTTTTTCATACCAAAAACATCACAAAATCCTAATACCAATCTAATCTATTCTATAGATATTTGGACTAGAGTTGACAAACAAACAAAACCAGCAATATACTTTCTTAGTATCGAATAGAAATCTAAATGGGGCGTGGCTAAGTTGTACGGCAACGGGTTTTGGTCCCGCAATTTGGAGGTTCGAATCCTTCCATCCCAGAACAGATATATATATTCTATAAGAATATAGATTGCTTTTTTAACAATGCTCTATTTATGTAAATAATTTTTATTACGGGCTAAAAATAATAATATACCCCTTTTCGGTGAAGGGTAATTAGCTGACAAGGCCCATCTCTTTGGGGACCCTTCTTTTGCAACCACTGATTCATGTAAATGGTTACCCATAAATCAAGGGAGTCTTTCTAAGGTACACTCAGAAAGTATAACCAACATTTTTTTTCTTTATATATACTTGTGTCCTCAACATTTCTCTTTCAATCCCAACTATTTCATCTTTATCCATATGTTCTTTTCCTTTTTAAATTGAAGTACACACTTGATTTTGATATAGTAATAAATTAAAAGATGGCACAAATGGTAAGACCAACTGAAAAGTTCCCACAAGAAGATCAAGACATGCAAAATCTCCATGTAAACAAAACCCAAGTAAGATCTCTTCATTATCCCACATTGCTTAATTCTTGGTTTAATTTTCCCTTTATCTTGGCTTTCAAGATTACAATATTTGATCAAGAAGCAGGATATATATATATATATATATATATATAGTGCCATATTGTGTATGCAAGAGTTACTATAGGTTTCAATCATTTACAGTAACGTGTGCAGAAATTTTTCATAAGTGGTGTTACAATTTGAAGAAAAGAATAAATAAATAAATAACTTATTATAACTGTAAGTGGTGTCAGTTTCTATATTTAATCCAAATATTTTATTTTTTCTAATACATAACTAGTAAAAGAATTCAACGAAACGGTGTCCCGTATGTGACACCCCATAGGACAAGATGTAAATGCCCCTGGTCATCTAAATGGCTAAAAGAAGGAATTATTTCGATATTACTATCAAGATCTAACTCTAAGGAGGATACTATTCATTTTTTCTTCATATTGTTGCTCGCTTGCTTTTGATCGTTTTAAAAAACAAAAGAGTAGGCCGAGAAAAACTCTTATTTTACAAACTTGCCTACTTAGGCTCAACCTTTTGCCCTACCTATACTAATATTTGAGGATTTTTTTTCTTATTTAATAAATTTAGACGGTTTTTCTAATGCTAGGATGAAAAAAAGTGGTGTCCTATATTGGATTTATTGTATGTAATTTTACCTCATAATAAGTGACTTGACTTCACAGCCTTTTAATTACACGACGTACAATAAATTTTATTGTTCGTGATTATTGATTACATGACGACAACTTTTACTGTTGCGTTGAGCAACATTTACTTTTGTGCAAAATGTGATTATTTCCTAATAATTACTTCTATTTTTATAACAGGTTGGTCAAGTCAATCATGATCAGCTTTGTGAGTACCTCCATAATCAGCAACTGCAACCACAAGATGGTGCGCAGCTTGAAGGCAAAATTGTTGCACTTTCCTTGTCATCAGCAGAGGCCTCAAATCACAACATGCACAAGTGATCATTTAATTAGTGAGATGTCTCCATATATAGCTTGAAATCAATAAATAAGATAGAAGAAGTGAAAAGGTGGAAATATTAATTTTCACCATAAAGTTAAGTTATTTGTTCAGATTAAAATACTAGGAGGTGATTAGCGGCGTAGCCAAGATTTTGTATAAGTGATGTCTGTTTATTGTCACAATTCATTTTGTAAATGTGTTTGCATTTGGAATTAGTAGTGGATTTAAGGAGTTACTTTGTATTATTTTCAATCGGTATTCGCATATATATATATATATATATATATATATATATATAAACTTTTTCAAGAAATAAATATTTACACGTATATATGAAAAAAATTAACGAAGTAGTATCAAATGATAACGATAATAAAAGTGTCTATGCGCCACCAACTACCTATGTAATTATTTGGTGTAGTTCACAATTATAGAATTTTGGATTGCAATTTATATTACATATCAGAGCAAAAGTTAATGAAAAAGGAGGTTAATCATTGATGAGGAGAAGAGCTCATATTATGCTGATGTTAGATATTTTGCCTATTTACTTTGTATGTATAGCTTAAGTGGGATTAAAAGCTAGTAATGCATTAGTTGTCCACTTATACTGTAAACTTGAGTGGACTCTATCTATATGCTAAAAGGAATGAATATCAATTAGTCAATCAAGCAAAGTATCTCTAACCATTATCTGCACTTGATTCATTCCAATATTCCTTTGCTTATAAATTAATTATTTCTTAACTCAAATTAGAACTTCCTTATAGTTACATGATCTCACAAGAAGTAAGCTGGCAAAAACTTGGCTAAAATTGATTTGGAGGTAATATTGCAGCATAATTTTATTTTTGGTACAAACAATATTGGCAGTGGCGTAGCCAAAAATTTCGTAGTGTTCAAACTTTAAACAAGTCAATAATTTTTTTGTCTATTAATAGTGTACCAAATTTTTTAAATCAAACTATGCAATATTTAGCTAAACAATTAAAAAAATTATAATAGAACTATAGTTTTATAAATCAAAATTAAAATAACAAAAGGACAACATTAGAAGTTTACTAATAAAATTAAGCATAAAACCAAAGTAAAGGCAGAGTAGAGAGAATTTGTGTTTTGTTTTGTTGAAGAAATTTGGCAGAATAGCCTGGTAGACACTTGTACTTGTTCGTGTTTGTCATCCCGGTCCCTATACTTGATAAAGTTTCGTCCAGACACTTATAGTTGTTCAAAATCGATATTTTAAACCCCTCTAACCATTGACCAAGTCTACGTGGCAACTTAATTGCTGAAGTGGATAAAATACGTGTATTTCACGCATATAAGGAGCGTGGACATAAAAATTTAATGATTAAAATAAGGAAAAAAATAAAAATAAAAGAAAAATACAAAAAATCAAATTAGAAAAAGAAAGAATGAAGGTGCCTAAGCTCTTTAATGGCGTCTCTGCTTCTCTTAGTTCTGCGGCCCACCAACCCCCCTCCCTTCTCCACGTTACTCCCTTCCCCCATTTTAACCCAACACCCCCAACAACACAGCCCTTCCCTTCACATATGCATCCACCACAGATCCAAAACCTCTACTAGATTAGTAGCAGTTTTTGGGGAATTTTTTCTCACATCCCTATTCCCTTACTTTGGAAGATAGCCTTTGCAAAGAAAAGAAATAGAAATAGTGGAAGAAGATTGCTTGTGAAACCTATTTTCGATTCGTTTTCATGTAGCAAAATTTCAGATTGTTTTGGGTGATGTTGGTTTTTTGCGTAGTCATTTTTTATGGCAGGTTCTTTTTCTCGTGGTTGATTGGTGATACAACGATGGAGTGTTGGTTGTGAAGAAGCTTTGTAGGTGAAGGGTGGTCTATTTTCGATGACTCTTTAGGTTGACGAATGGATCTGTTTTGATTATTGTTGTTGTGTTTCGCTATTTGGATCTTTAATCGAATTTTGGGGAGGAGACTCAAAGGCTTGTTTGTTGAGAATTTTCGAAATTCCATTGTTGGTCTTGCGAAGAACGAATCTATTGATTTGAAACCTCAAGTTGTTGCTTACATAGTATTAAACTCAGCTGGGTATTGAAATTTAGACTTGAAAATGCAATAAACATTTGTGTTTGAGGATCAAAACTGGAGGGACAAGCAGAGACGCCATTAAAGCTCGATTGAAGCTTCTGGGTATATTCAGGTTTAGAAGAGAGAACCTACTGTATCTCTTTTCTATGGGTTCCGTATTTTTGTAGGGTAGCCAGTTCTATTTTTCAATAGTTTATTTTCCTATGTGGCACTAGTAATGACGTGGCGTCCTACGTGTAGGAGATTGTATTACACACACTGGTAGCTCATGTCATAAGCGTTTATTATACACGATTTGAACGAGTGTAAGTGTTCGATAAGTTTGGGGACCGGCATGACAAAGTGGCACAAGTATAAGTGCCATTTAGGCTATTCTGCCAAGAAATTTTTACAGAGCTTGACTTTTAAATTATAATATTAATTTAAGAAATAAATTTAGTTAAAGAAATACTTTTAATATTAGTTGTTTATTTCTACCTAAATTTTAAGAGTTATTTTATTAGAAAATTTTTTAAACTAAAAAAAAAAACCCCACACATGGTGGTCTATGTTTAGTTTTGGCAAACAAAATGAGCAGAACTTTGAAACAGTGAACCACACGTCACTTTGAACACCCTAAACCAGCGGACTGCCTCACTCAACTGTATTAAGGGTGTTCAACATATAATATACGGAAAAGGGTCTGATCTATCCCTCTACTATGATAAATTGTTCAAAATTGTCCCCCGTTATACTATTGGGCCATAAAAGTCCCTGCGTCATACTATCCTAACAAATCTGCCCTTAGTTAGACGGAGGTGCCACGTGGCATCTCCTCATCAAACGACCCACCCCCCAATTTAAAAAACAAACCATCCAATACTGACCCGCCCAAGTNTTCTCACACACACATAAACTATATTGTAATTGATGATCAATCTTATACTTTACTACGTACGTACGAATAATTAATTAATGTATATATATATATATATATATATATATATATATATATATATATATATATATATATCAGGTTCTTTTAGGGATTAATAGACTTGTGAAGATCCTAATTAGTATATATAATTTATCATCAAATATATATGTTTGTAAATCGGAATAGGGTCTGATCTATCCCTCTACTATGATAACAAATCTACCCTTAGTTAGACGGAAGTGCCACGTGGCATCTCCTCATCAAACGACCCACCCCCAATTTAAAAAAAGCCATCCAATACTGACCCGCCCAAGTTAAGACCCGTTACCTAAAGGCAAAAAGAGAGACATAACTTAAAAATATGGAAAACCAGCATTGTTCTTCATCTTTATTGATATTTGCTCAAAATTTCCAACCCAACTTCTTTGAATCTTCACCAAATTTGTTATAATTTGAGATTTAAGCTCCCCAAGAGATCCCTAACAAAACACAATAACATCAATTAGAAATAGTTCACATTTTCGAAAACTCAATTTTCGAGCTAAGATTCAGAGCTTTCATCAATGGAGTTTTTAGCTCTTGCTTCACGTACCAGCTTTCCAACAATGTTCTAAAAAATACTTTCAACAAGAAACATAGACATCTCAACTCTTTCAAAATTTTAAATCCAGTGTCCAATTGATATATCATCGTTCCCATCCTCTTCTTCTCCTTACTTTTCATCACCATATTCCCAAAAAATTACTGAATTGTGCGGAAGAAAATGGTTCGTCCGTAACTATTTTTACATATATTATAAAATAAAGGAAGATTAGAAATCAGATGCCAATCAAAAATATTTAATTAAAATTTAAGAAAAATGATAAGAAGTGTAGAAGGAGCCATCGGAAACCAAAGTTCATCCGCAAAAGCTTTTTTAAGCAATCACAAATTCACAACAGACCCAGTTGGGTGTTCTTCAAGCTTTTCCAAATAGTCCAATAGTGATTTTAGTTTCCCTTCAACTATATTTTCCCAAATCAGTAATTGAATCAAAACTTAAGCACAACAAATAATTTTTCCAAACGATTCTAACAATAGGTAACCAACAAACCCAGATTTCTGATTTTGAATTTGAAATCTGAAAGTTTTTGGCTTAAAAAATGGAAATTAAAATCACCATAGGAAGTTAGATTACCTAAAAGGATTACTTCCCCAACGCGATTATTAGAAATGGGTATTATTTGGTTTATAAATGGCGGGTCGCGGGTTATGGGTTTGGTGGGTTTCATGGAGCGGGTCGTCTCATATGTGCACAGATGTTAAAAGGGCACGGATGGATGCCATGTGGCACTTCCGTCTAACTAAGGGCAGATTTGTTAGGATAGTATGACGGCAGGGACTTTTATGGTCCAATAGTATAACGGGGGACAATTTTGAACAATTTATCATAGTAGAGGGATAGATCAGACCCTTTTCCGTATAATATATAATCATATAAAGTAGTTGATAGAAATTAAGGGTCCACCAAACTATATAGAGAAACAGGTTCTCTATTAGTTCCCACAAAACACACGCACACTGCAGTAAGTAAATGACACAATGGAGTTTTATGTGGAAAGCTCCCAGCTCACGGGATCAAAAACTACGACCTACCCTTGTAGGATTTCAACTTCACTACTGAGCAAACTTTAGATTACAACCTATTGTAACCTAGGAATTAACCTCTTAATCCCTCACTAACTTGTAACAACTCTATTACAAGCCACTTTGTAATAACTCTATTACAAAGACTTACAACTCGACTAACTCTAGCCAAGACACAAATACAAGGGTTTATGATTTACAGAGATTTCCTACACAATGCTTCTAACTAAGCTAAGTAGGAATTACAAGTAGAGTTCTTTAATCAAAGGTACAACACAACTAAGGACATATAATAACTCGATACAGGGAACTGGTCCGTTGTTATGTTGTTCTTTGTTCTTGATGCCCTTAAGAGTCACTTGCAAGATTGATAGATGACTTGAGAGAATATTTGATCGATTCTTGAATGTGCAAGTATTTTGTTTTACCTTAGCTTGATGTTAATAATTCATTTGTGACAACATTTGAATGATGAAAGCAAGTTAGGTAAAGGGGATTCCCCATAAATTTGACTGTTGCACTGTTTTTGTGATGTTGCGTGTGCAAGCGCCAACTTTACAGCTGGGAGGGTTGACTTGTACAGTCACTACGAGAGCTGGTAGCTATCTGTTCCATCTGTTGTTCCTTTGACTC